ACCTGTCATGATGTAGAGCAAAGGATGGGACCACCATGCTTTGAGATGATTTATTGCTTGAGTAGGCCAGATAAGATCAGTCTGAAGGCATGAGGTTTAGAGGAGCAGCAAGTCAGCCATAGCTCAAGGTAGTCACAGCTTTCTTCTCCACACAGCAGTATATAACATTTTGGTCCAATAGACAGTTGACACAAAACTTGTTTCTACTTATTAGCCTATCACCTTTGCTTAATTTTGCTGCACTGCATCTTTGTGTTAGCCACTAAGCTGAGAGGTCACATACACACATCTCTATTACAGTTTCTAGATCTCTAGCCTACTCTATTACTCAGTTATTACAGCTCAAACCTCAAACTATTTTACCTAATATAATTTCTTCCCTACTCTAGGCATATTCTTACTTATAACTATAGAGACCTAAGTTTTTAATTTCTCTACCCAATGTCTGTGTACCTTCATCATTGCATTAACCCAAGCTCTTTCCAAGGCTGCAGATTGAACCCTTCATCATCTGTAGAAGTTTCTATTTTTTCCATTTCCCACATTTTACAAAGCTTTGTAAATGCGTTCAGTAGTCTTAAGTATTGTGCCATGGCTCTATGCAGCCTTCCTTCCCATGCATGAGAATTGGAAGAAATTACGGGGTGAGGCTGTAACTGGCAAAAACCACACTATTGTGAGGAACTAGGGTTTTTTTTGTGTTTTGAATTTAAAAAATGAATAGTGGTTATGCACTGAAGAATCTTGTACAGAAATCCCCATTTCCTTGTTGGTTTAAAGTGAAGAAGGAATCACACTCTGATGCCTGCTCTCATCACTTGTCGGGGGCATTGACTGGCTGAGGCTTACTGTCTCTGCTCTCTCCTTCCTTTCATACATGTGCATGTTTGAAGACCTGTACTGTGAAATACATCAGGGAGCTGATGTGGCTGAGAACTGCCTCAGACTAAGAAAATGCCATGTGAGGAGATGTGGAGAGGAACTGGGGAACTGCATAGAGCCCCCACATAGGGGGATATCCAGGATGGACACAGAGTTCAGGCTGTCAGGATATGGCCCTGTGTGACAACCAAATATACTATTCTCAGCACAAAGACCTACTCATGAGTCTCTGCTAGCTTAGCTCTTGGGTTTGTGTTCCACTGCCTCTGTGCACAGCATGACTGATGCCTGGCAGATGCCAGATTTTACAGTCCCACTTAACTGACACGTAAATTAATACTTTTCTGCTCTCCTGGCTTCCTCAATTTGGCTCATATTCAGGGAGAGAAGTGCCTCTTCTGTGTGGAGGAAAGATGGGCTGTGGGAGGGGAATGGGTGTTAATCTATTCAGTGCAGGTAGGTCAAGGGCAGCTGCAGGGGAGCTGCAGGTTGTACTCTGGGGGAGCCCAGGGCCAGAGGCTGTGACCTGCTGGCCCTCTGTATAATGAGGGCCCCAGGGACCTGTGGCCTGGCAAGGGGACTGGACACTTGGAGCCAAAATAGGAGTGGAGGAACTCGGACTTTTGTGCTCAGACTGTGAGGGAATAAAAGCCAAGGGGCTCCTCGAAGGAACCATCTGGATTTATTTAGTTACTTGGTCATTCCACCAAGCTTAAATTAAGAATTTGAACGTCTGAGACTCTGCCATAGGAAACCTGGGTCCATGCCCATAAGGTAACCCAGTGTGAGTGTGGGGTGCAGCTGCAGAGGGGCCTTGGTCCAGCTCAGGTGGTGTGCAAGAGTGAATGTCAGAGTGGTCCTGGATACTCAGGGAAGTTTCCTTAACTATGGAGTGTCTCAAGAGCCATTTAAAAGTCTTGCTTTTAATATCAGACATTTCACTTATCTCTGTTGCTGCTCTGCTGATTTTGCTTATTCTTTTCATCTTTCTTGCCATCCCCAAATGCAGACTTCCTCTAAATGTACCTGTAGTTTGTGGTTTAGACCAGCACAAGATTTGAGGATACATACAATCTAGAATAAGAACTGTAAAATACCTGCCATATACACATTTTCCTCTGGCCATCTCTACACTTCCTTTGACCTTGAACAGAACAAATAAATCCAACCAGTGTGTTGTGCAGTGTATCTGAAGGGCAGCCAATTTCCTGTTGTCCTGGATGGCAGTAAAGGATTGGTGTCAGCACACTTTGGTTGATGAAGCGTAAGGAGGAACTGAGTTCAGCCCATTTTTCCACAGCTATATAAACTACAATAAGGCTGGCAATAAAAACTTGATTTTTTTAGCAGTTTCAGTGGATATAAATTGTGCCAGCAGATGGGAAGCTGTCAAATAGGTACCACGACCAAGTAATAATTTTGCAAAATCACTTCTCAAAAGAAAGAAACAAACCAAGAATAGCTACAGTGAAAATTCTGGCAACTTGGGCTTGGGCAACGTGAACCTTTTTTTCAAGTACTCTGATACTCAAATACTGGCGTCTCATTTAGGATATGCCCTTGGGCTTCCCCAATACTTGTTCATGTAACTTTGTAGGTTGAAGGGATTCATTCCCAAAAAACATCATGTTCTGTATCAATCAAAAACCCTTGGGAATTTATTATGGGTCTCTATTCAATCGACGCAGAAAATTATCATGCTACAATTTAAATCTGTAAAACCAATCATCCTTTGTTGAATATATTTGAATTTCAGCTTGAATACTCAAGTGTGGCTTCAAAATACTTAAGGAAAGAAGAGCTGGCTGGACCCTCATGCAGGATCATACAACCTTGTGGTAGGTCTTGCCCTGTTTAAATTTTCACTGTGGTCTGAGCTGTGGATGGTGTATGTTCTGGGACACTGCTTGGGTCACCACGGCACATTTCATCTCCAGCTCAGGCTGGCAGTGCGCTTCCCTCTGTCTTTTTCTTCCTATGCTGTAAAACACTGAGCTTAGGTGAAAGAAATTGGCCAGGAGACAAGACTCCTGTACCACCCTGAAATTGCAGCCTTCTGATTGTATGGAGTATTGTATTTTCCTATTATTTATCCTTTTGATTGTTTATAATGTTTCTAGTTTCTTTGTTCATTTTTCTTTTTTCTTTTCTTTTTGTTAAACCAAAAAGGGTGAGATGTCACCCTGAAAACTCAGCTTCTGAGCTTGCTAACATAATTTTCTAAGGACTTTCCCAGGACAGTAACTGTAAACATAGATATGTGTACATTCTTTCTGTTACACGTCTTGTGATGGGCATCTCTCATGGCCAGTGCAGTGGGAAAGTGTTATCCTGACCATCCAATCCCTGGCCATGGTCAGAAGCCTATAAATCCTGTGAGGAAAAATAAACTCTCTCTTCTTTTCACCACACCTCGACCTGTGTCCGTGTGGGCTTCTGTTCACACGGGAGAAAAAACCTGCAATGTCATTGCCCACTGGAAGCAGGCCTTTGCTGTTTTGGGCGTGCCTTCTGCTGTGAAGACCGATAATGGTCCTGCTTACACCTCTCAGAAGGTGAGGCAGTTCCTGCAGTTGTGGGGTGTGTCACACAAGTTTGGTATCCCTCATTCTCCGACAGGTCAGGCTATCGTAGAACGTGCTTACGGTATGCTGAAGCGAGTTCTGCAGAAGCAGAAACGGGGAATGCAGGGCGAGACCCCGCACAGTCGGTTGGGGAAAGCTTTATATACCCTTAATCACCTCACAGTGCCACAGAACTCCAGTAACCCGGTCATGTTGAACCATCACCTTTCTTTGCGGGCTTCAGATGAGACACCTCAGCCTCAGGCAAAGGTTAGAGTGAGGAATCTGGTCACAAAACAGTGGGAGGGTCCCTGTGACCTCATTGCTTTGGGGTGAGGGTATGCTTGTGTATCCACAGATATTGGGGTACGCTGGGTACCTGTGAAGTGTGTTCATCCTGACCTGCAACCGCAGAGGCAGCATTCGACCGGCGAGCAGGCTGGAGGCTGTGACCAAATTGGAAGTCATCAGATGGGTGGGCCAATGGATGAGGACTCAGATGCAGATGACGTGCGTGCTCACCCCGATGGCCCATCCACAAGCAGGTGTTGATGTTGGACATTTGTTTCATTTATTTTTTGAGTTTCTGTTCTTTTTCTGATTTTTTTTTGTTTTTTTTTTTTTGTAATAACGAAAGGGTGAGATATCACCCTGAAATTACAGCCTTCTGATTGTATGGAGTATTGTATTTTCCTATTATTTATCCTTTTGATTGTTTATAATGTTGCTAGTTTCTTTGTTCATTTTTCTTTTTTCTTTTCTTTTTGTTAAACCAAAAAGGGTGAGATGTTGCCCTGAAAACTCAGCTTCTGAGCTTGCTAACATAGTTTTCTAAGGACTTTCCCAGGACAGTAACTGTAAACATAGATATGTGTACATTCTTTCTGATACATGTCTTTTGATGGACATCCCTCACGGCCAGTGTAATGAATGCACTCAAGAGAGTGATACGATTCAATCAAAGAGAATTTTATTAATTGTAGCAAGCAAGCAATAAGCAAAAAATCAGCTCTGGGCGACAGGGGAGTCTCTGCTCCATCTGCTGCCGCACTTCCGATTTCCGTGTTCTCCCTTTTAAGTGGTCCG